CCAGCATACGCAGACTTCCTATAAGCCACTACGAGAGCGGCAAAAAATAGGGGAATACGATTAGTAAAAAGAATACGAGCATAATTACCGCTAAAACAATAATTGGAAAATATGCTGTCGAGCAATAGCAGAATCTTTAGAGAGATAAAAGAAAATGCTGAATGTTCAACGAGGATTGTTAGATTGATTGTGCCAATTCTTTTCCCTACCCATAAACCTTGCTACTTATTGTAAAGCAAAGTTTAGCTTTGCTTATATGAAAGGTACTTGATTTTATGAGTGCAAAAATTTTAAAACAAGAATAAATGAAGATGTGCTGGTGAAAATGAATAGATTTTAAATGTAAGTGCAAAAGATATGCAAACTTCTATATAAACAAAGATTTTTAAATTTGCTTTAGATTTAGCATATATGTACTGAGAAATGGATGAACTCCTTTGTGATTACTGACATTAAGCCAGCATACTTCCAGGGAACGGACGTTTAAACACTGCAGTAATCATATAAGCTTCACGTTATGTATTACTGTATTTGTTCAGTCTAAAGTCAGTAGTCCAATAAATTCATTGAATTCAATGTATGAAAATGGGCTCATTGCGCTAAGCAATTATGTAGTTTTGATAGAATATCTAGAGCACTTACCTCTGACGTGACATTGCTGGACAACGACCCTCTATGTACACACTATGCTAACAAACGCTGATTCAACGGATCGATAGTGTGAACGGAGAAAGGGACGACGTCTTCGTATGCTTAGTTGGCTAACATACTCTTTCCTTTTCATTTATATCTCGTGAAATACCTACATTTTCAAAGTGAACTGCTTTGACTTTAGACGATTTTGCAAAACAAAAAACCAAAAAAAAGTGTTTCAAAAGCGACCGAATTTATCCATTGGTAGCTGCGATTTAATTGCTTATTTCTCTTTTCATGCAACAGCTCCGCATAATTTATTATACATCCTTACTCATTCCTGCACGAATTTTGATATGCAAATTCTTTCTTAGCTTAAATTCAATTCTATGTATTTTATTGAAAGTAGAGTGATTTTTTTCATAATTAATTGATATCCTGG